AGAAAACGTAATTGGTATATACCGTGAAGATATATATTCTCCACAACAGCCACGTAGCAAATACGCGATAATGATCGAGAGAATATCGGTGCACGTCAAGTTTGCGAGAGGAAATATATTCGAGGATTTTTTTTATCGATGATGAGAACAGCGAGGGTACAGTAATTGGGTGCAATTATTCGAAAATACCCTACCTTTATCCAAGATGGAGTAATTTCTTGTCCCCTGAGTGGTTATTGCGGACTCGACAGAAGGCCGATTGAGTCACTAGTCTCTCCTTGGTGGCCGCAAAATGGCGAAACAAAGCAGCCGCTTTTCGAGCCATTCGAGTTGATCGAGCTCGGTTGCGTCCTCCTGGAAACGGCGGTTTAAGAATTGGCGGTGACTCGATTGGCCGCCGCTAGAGCCCGCTCATTACACTCCGCCTCGGTCGTGGTCGATCATCATTGGCATCGTGGCGAATCGAGATCACCGCGTTGCTGGTGGTTTAGAAAATGGCCGTTTCAAGCGAAAGATAAATATATCGTACAGTTTATATATCGCGCGTTATTTCGTTTGATTCTGTTTGATTTTGGAGGGGGTTGTACAGGGTGTCTTGGTTTTTCATGGTATGTAATATATAACGTTTGTATTTGGTAAATGATGAATAAGGAGAATTGTAAAGAAATGTAAGTTAGCTTTTTTCTGCGCATTATGTATGTATATATTTCTTTTTAGATTGCCATTTTTCGTATTTTCGTGCGTGCTTCTTGTGTTGCGCAAATGGTATGAGTAAGAAAAAGGTGAGTATGGTAAGTATGATTAGATGTAAGAAAATTGTTAAAAAAAAGAGAGAGAGAAATAAATAATATGGCAATTGTAAAAGGTAAGTATCAAAAGGTAGGTATAGGTAAGTATATGGGATTCAATAAAAATATCTAAAAAATTTTGCGTTTTAGCAGTTTTCGAGTTAAATAGAAAAATTGGCGAAAAATTTCGAAAGTTCCAAGAATTTGACGTCACTTCCAAGAACTGACGAAATTCTGAGAAAAATTTCTCGATAGACCTCCTGTCGTATCATGTTCTCCTAATACAAAGTCGAAAAATTGGCGAAAAATTTTATTCGTTCGAGAATTTCGAAAATTCTAAGAATTCCGAGAGTTCCAAGAATTTGACGTCATTTCCAAGAATTGGCAAAATTCTGGGAAAAATTTCTCGAACAACCTCCTGTCAAGTTATGTTCTCCTAATACAAAATCGAAAAATTGACGAAAAATTTTTCATTCGAGAATTTCGATATTTCCAGGAATTTGACGTCATTTCCAAGAACTGGTAAAATTCTTGGAAAAATTTCTCGATCGACCTCCTATCATATCATGTTCTCCTAATACAAAATCGCAAAATTGGCCAAAAATTTTTTTCATTCGAGAATTTCAATATTTCCAGGAATTTGACGTCATTTCCAAGAACTGGCAAAATTCTTGGAAAAATTTCTCGATCGACCTCCTATCGTATCATGTTCTCCTAATACAAAATCGAAAAATTGACGAAAAATTTTTTTTCATTCGAGAATTTCGATGATTCCAGGAATTTGACATCATTTCCAAGAATTTCGAAAATTCCAAGAATTTGACGTCATTTCCAAGAACTGGCAAAATTCTGGGAAAAATTGCTCGATCGACCTCCTGTCAAATTATGTTCTCCTAATACAAAATCGCAAAATTGACGAAAAATTTTTTTCATTCGAGAATTTCGATAATTCCAGGAATTTCGAAAGTTCCAAGAATTTGACGTCATTTCCAAGAATTGACAAAATTCTGGGAAAAATTGCTCGATCGACCTCCTATCGTATCATGTTCTCCTAATACAAAGTCGAAAAATTGGTGAAAAATTTTTTTCATTCGAGAATTTCGATGATTCCAGGAATTTGACGTCATTTCCAAGAATTTCGAAAATTCCAGGAATTTGACGTCATTTCCAAGAACTGGCAAAATTCTTGGAAAAATTTCTCGATCGACCTCCTATCGTATCATGTTCTCCTAATACAAAATCGAAAAATTGACGAAAAATTTTTTTTCATTCGAGAATTTCGATGATTCCAGGAATTTGACATCATTTCCAAGAATTTCGAAAATTCCAAGAATTTGACGTCATTTCCAAGAACTGGCAAAATTCTGGGAAAAATTGCTCGATCGACCTCCTATCGTATCATGTTCTCCTAATATAAAGTCGAAAAATTGGCGAAAAATTTTTTTCATTCGAGAATTTCGATAATTCCAGGAATTTGACGTCATTTCCATGAATTTCGATAATTCCAGGAATTTCGAAAGTTCCAAGAATTTGACGTTATTCCAAGAATTTCAAAAGTTCCAAGAATTAACGAAATTCTTGGAAAAATTTCTCGATCGACCTCCTGTCGAATTATGTTCTCCTAATACAAAGTCGAAATTTCAAACTTTTGGGAAAAATTTTTGTCTTTGTATCAGGTGAACGCGATGGAAGATGAATTGTTTTTTAAATTTCGAAAATTTTGATCGATTTTTTCGATTTTTCGATTAGAAAAGTATAATTGGACGGGAGTTGGCACGTGAAAATTTACTTACCTGATATACTTATTTCTTTAAACTGTTATTTTTTTCGCAGAAACGAATCGTTTTTGCGAAATTTTACTTGTATCTACGTATGAAATTTGTTACGCTTGCTCTATTTTTTACTTGTTTTTTTTTACATACCTACCTGTTAGTTTATAATCTTGATTTATATCGTTGTTATCGTTCTCAGCGAAAAATGTTTCGGATAAAAATTAAATGGTTTTAAGAGGGGTATATTCTGAGATTATTAATTTTTTTGTAAATGTATGTGCGAAAAAGATACGAAATATAAGTTTATTCTTTTAAATGGGATTGTATATTTTTCACTGCACGAATCGATGTATTTCTGCATTCTCTGTAAAAAAGTATTAAACCTTGAAACTCGAAAAGATGTTTATTTACGAAATATTTAATAATAATTAAATATCTTTTAAACCATTAATTTTTCGCCCTATATGGTTAAGTAATTTTTTATAGAGAATAACCCGTTGCATCTATTCACGGATTAAAAAATATATGATTCTATTTAAAGAAATGAAATTGACCTTCGTACAACCTTCGCGAGCCTATCCAAAGAAAAAAGTAATAAAATCAAAATGTAGCCCTATCGAAACCATTCAACTTTTATCCGAAACATTTTTCAATATCTCTAAATACAACCGAGATATTAGCCTTCAAATTTATGTGACTCGTATAATATACCGGGTGTCCCAATATTCCCCCTCGCAATATCTCCTTTATTTCCACAAATATTAAAAAATACTTTAGACCAAAGTTGAACAGTTTCGAAGGGACTATAACGTGATATAATTATTTTCCCCCCTGGACAAAGATCCACCATCCAAACCCATCTCAACTTTCTTTATAAACACGTATATCGACCACATACCAAACTACGTCCATAAATAACCTACTAAGAATACGATTCTACCAAAAAAAGAAAAAAGAAAAAATAAACAATCATCGAAAGCTCGAAATCTACTAAATTAATTCAATCACAAATCCTATCTCCAACGTTCGCCCCGCGATCGATCCTCAATAAAAGAAGAAAAACCTCTACGGAAAGAAGCGGCACTCGACACGGAAGGCAGTCCGCAGGTAGACACGGTGGCAGGCCTGATTGGCCCTGCCCCCGACCGATGTTCCATCCTACGCATTTGCCTCCGTGTCCACCGCGTCCTCGTGCAGAGGCGGACTCTTCTTCCCAACTTCTCTCCTCTCGACTTCTTCTCTACCTCTACCTCTACCTCTACCTCTACCTCTCGTGCTTCTTCCGCCTCGCCACCCTCGAGCGAGACGGAGAACCGAGCGTCCAACCGAGCTAGAGAGAGACAGGCAAGGGTGGTACGCGGCGCGTACGTAGGAATCGGAGGGAACCGGCGATCTGGGCTGCCCGTTGTTCAGTGGCGTGGCGGCGAAGCGTTTGCCGGGCTAACTCGCTCGCTCGCTCGCTCGCTCGCTCGCGTATTTCCGTTCCGTGAACCGAACGTTCGCCAATAAGCGTATAGGAGTCGGTGTCCCGTACGCCTTCACTCCTCGCCGCCTGGGCCGCGAGCGGCGGCAGCGGCCGCCGCCGCCGCAACGGCAGTCGAAACTTCGCGATGCAACGGCCGAACGCGTTCCTCGCAACCGCGATCTACCCTCCGACGCTCGATCGCCTCTTCACCGTCGCGCGATGCGCTCCTTCCGCGCCCTCGCCCTCCTAATTTCTCCTCTTCTCGCCCGTTTCTTCTCGCGAGGAGGGGGGTAGGGAGGGAGGAAGGGAAGGGAAGGGAAGGGAAGGGAATCCCTGCTTCCTTTTCCGTTTCGTGCACGGGGAGGGGGAGAGAGGAGGAGGAGAGGGAGGAAGGAGGGTGGAAGGGGCAGAGACGCGCTTTTATCCCCGCGCACTTTGTTTCGTGTGTATTATTTCGTTGGTGGTAGGAAGGGGGTGGTGATGTAAGACGTAGCAACGACGTAGTAATAGTACACGTAGTTATAGTGAGTGCGATCGAGAGAGAGAGAGAGAGAGAGAGTATAATAACGTTGATTATTTTCCTCTCGTTTTTAGACACGCGTACTCTTTCATCCCTCTCTTTGTATTAAAAAATTTCGTAAATTATCGATGATAATTTGAAAAAAGAAAAAAAAAGAAGAAGAAGAAGAATCGGTGGACGATACGAAAACGCGATCGATCGAGATCGAGATCGAAATCGAGATCGAGATCGAGATCGAAAAGGGGTTGGTTAAAAATTGTGCGAAACGAAAGAAAAAGGAAGGAAGGAAGGAAGAGAATAGTGAGCGCGCGATTCGCTGGTTTTGGAAAGGGAGAGGAGGGAGGAGGAGGAGGAGGAGGAGGAGGGAGGAGGATCGCGAAGAAAGAAAAGAATAACCGATGTGTTTGGCCGGCGGCCACGTTGGAAATCGCGTGAACGTGCATTGGATGTTTCAGCAGCTGGAAAACGAGACGGCATGGACTAGCCGTTCGCCCCGTGGAAACCCTTGGAAGGGAAAAGGGCATCCCCTCCCCCGGCCCTGCAAGCGTCGCGACGCTCGGCGACGCCGGTGCAACGTCGTCGATCCGCCTCTCCGCCCTTCTCGACGTCTCAGCCGGAAGGTGAGTTTCATTCTTTTCCTTTTTTTCTCTTAAGAACCGATCGAGAAAGTCAGAAAGGGAGCAGGGGTCGATAACGAAACGAGAGGAATAAGAGGAATTGAATCGTGTTCAATTCGAATTGGCGAATCCTTAAATTTAATTCGAAAATATCATTTGCCGTGAAATAGGTAATATTGATTAAACCGATGTGTCGACCGGTTGTATAATTAAACTATTGACACGGTAGTAATGTAAGTAAGAAAGTAGAAACAACGGTGATTTTAAATTTTAAAATTCGAAAGTGTATCATATATCTGTGATATCCGATAACAACGAGAAACAATGGAGGAATAATTGTAACGATAATTTAAACGCAATGATTTTGCCCATTGGTAATAATAACAACCTGAAACATCGATAATAAAAATAACAACAACAATAATCGTGATGATAATTGAAACGCGATTATAACCAATTGGCAAGTGACCGAATAATTAATAATAACCGGAATCATCGATAATAATAAGATATTAATAGCGACGATAATGATAATCCTAGAAAAAATATAATTCAAACATGATACAACTGTCGCTGATTAAAGCCATCGATGATGCCATTCGCTGTATAATGGCCAATAATATTAATAACAGCAATAATCCCAATGATTATAGTAATAATAATTCAAACGTAATTGGCGAATAACCAATTCCGAATAATTAATAATATTAACGGCAAATAATAACCTCAAACTTCGATTCGAATATTTGTGGCACGTACTAAACGTTAAGATTATACCGTTCACGTAATTAAAAATAGCCAACCAGCCAACTAATAAATCCTAACCTAACCTAACCTAACAATAACGACGTAATAACCTTAAAAAGTAGCGCAAAGATCCGATTGTAATCCGTCCTCCAAATCGGCGAAAAAATAACAACGATGCATACGTAACAATCGTAATAAATAAACAACGGGCAAGCGACAATCGTCCATCCTGCCACGCTTTTCCTTCGCTGTCTTCCTTCGTTCGCACCGATGACGCGTGAAAACGTAGTAAAATAACGCTGAAACACGCGTGCATCGTCGTAAAACCCGTCGAAACGGTCGATAGTTGGAGCACGGTTTTCCTTTCGTTCGACGAAATTGCCTTAACGAAGATCGTACGCCGATGGAAATACGGCCGCCTTACGAGCCGACGATACAACAAAAACCGCCACGCGCTTAAATCCAATAATTCCGGACACACCCTTTCGAATCGCGTTTATCTTACGATTCTCTCTCTCTCTCTCTCTCGTGAAACGTTCTTTCCTCTTTCCTTCTTCTCGCGCGGAATCGGTTTATTTTATATATCGATAAGGATATTCCAATCCAGAAAAATGAAATTTCCTCGAGGAACTGTACATGAGAATTCTTCGAGAAAATTCATCGTTCGAAAAATAAAATTATTTATTTATTATTTTTTGAATAATTTCGCGGGAAAGAGAATTAAATTTTTATCGATCAATTATCGGTTATCTTTTCGTAATTATTCCTCTACATATCGGAAATTCAACTTTTTCTCGAGCAAGCTGGCCGAGGACAGTTTTATTACCGTTCGTCCAACAAAATGGCGTCCCGAGAGAGATAAAATAACCGCGGTTAAGAAACGTTGCAACCTGGTTGGTTGGCCGAAATAAAATCCAAAATTTATGGAAACTCGAGGGGATGGACGTGTTCGCCTAAACGAAACGAAAAGAGAGAGAGAGAGAGAGAGAAGAAAAAAGGAAGGAAAGAAAGAAGAGATCGAGAAGGGAAGAAGAGTAAATTGGCTAGCTCCTTCGGCCGAGTTCCTCGATGAATTTGAATAAAAATGGGCGACGAGGAGCAAGCGAGGATTGGACGAGGATGGAGAGAATTGTTTCAGGGGTGGCGGTTATGGCGCGGAGAAAAATAGGATAGGATGTGCCCTCGCCGTGTTTTTTTTGGCTCCTTTTTTTCTCACTCTCTTTCGGATGCTGCAGCATAATCGAAAAGAAAATACTATCTATACAATTTTTTGTACAAATTTATTCGATTTCGATGGAATATATATTCATTGTCCTTTTCTTTCTTCGTCAATCGTTGAAGTTTCTTTTCTTTCACGAAAAGGAATAGAATGGAGTAGAGAGGATGTATCGTTCGGATAAATTTTCCAAACTTTTTCGAAATTGAAGAGAAGGAAAAAGAGAAAGAAAAAGAAAAAGATTTCCACGAATTTCAAAGCTTTATTGCACAAATATATATATATATATATATATA